GCTATACCTTTGGGCGTTTTTTTAACACAGAATGACACACTTTTTGCATGAATATTCATGAATAAACAATGCACTTACAAAAATGTACTACTCCTACGTGCAAAATATACAGACGTTACGTTATGTTACGGAAATTTTCATGTATAATTAATTGATTGAAATTGTTTGTTAATTCGGACATCACGTTTTCTTATTCTGATACTTTCTGACATATTGTCATTTATATTGGTTTAAAGGGACTCCGCTAAGTTTTTTCGACATGATGGGACTAAAATAATATGTTGAGCTTCATGCTCCATTTGATGCTGGTCTTATGCACTAATAACTTGTGTGCAGAATTTCAGTTTGTTCGCTCACTCCGTTTTTCCAGATTAGTTATTCTTTTTGTGCGAAATGAAAAAATGTTCATTTATATGGTTAATGAGAACGTATGATTGTATTATATATGGAAAATGTAACAGGACAACAACATCAGCAGCAACAACAACAACAACAACAAAAACGTTTTTGAGAACTAAAAATGATAGCAGTTTTGAGACTTAATGGACATTTAACGTACATTTACAATTTACAACTGAAAAAAAAAACAATAACAAAACACAACCCAACTCATATTGGTAATAACTAATGACGATAGAGCTTCAGTTGTACAGATTTCTCTTTTTGTGGTACAAAAACATATTTCACTGTACATATCCCGTAACGCTTAATCAATTCATTTTTGAAATTCAAATTTAATTAATTTGTCCTAAAACTTTACTGGACCGTTTCGGCGATATATATGCACAGACCCTTACTTTTTGCACAACTCCATGTTCTTACGTAAGATAAACACCGTGAACTGGACCAATGAAATCGGAGTAACTCCTATAGTTAAACATAACGTATACATGTATTACTTGAACTAGGAAAATATGTGCCCTTAAAACTATAACGTAACGTATGTTAGTTGTAACGTTGGGCCACTGAAATTTGAGTTAACTCATTGTTACGGCGTATACGAGAACGGGAAATTACGTGCACGTACGTACGACTTTGACGTAGCGAAAGTAAACACAAGCACACTCTGTACTTCAAACATCTGTAAATACACGTCGAAGTTTTAATTGCAAGTGCAGTTTAAATGTCCAAAACCATGATTAGACTGATTTTATTGTGCTCTTACCGACTGTACAGTTTTTATCGTCACCGCAGTGATAAAACCTGTCCGTATTTGACAAGTGCGGTGTTTTTACCTTTGGTGCAATGTCGACAGATATAAGTACAATGTGACTTTTATACAAAGTATCATTCACCGAGTTTCATAACTTTTATTTCCAATAGCTCATTAAACATTCAAAAACACAAATAACCTTGTAAAAACAACAAGTCTGCTGTAACCAATGGACACGTTCCTTTGGCTTGTCATCTTGCGGCTGTAACATTTGGACTGTTATTGATATAAATGACCTGTGCTTATTGCACGCCTCCAGATGAGTCAAAATATTTCAAGAAAATCAATATTGAGAAAAATGCACTAAACTTTTCAGAAAGATTAAAACATTCAAGATCAAAGTTATATTTTACATGTTATGTATGGTTTAAAACTGATTTTGCAGTATTTAAACACTATATTTCTACTGCGTTACTAACACAGTAAGGGTTGTTTTTGCATATCTTGACCACTTTTTGTTAATTTTCGTGGATTGTAAATGCCGATTACAATATGTAAATTACTTTATTTTTTTACCTCACAATATTTTACTTTTAAATACATTTCCAAAATGTTCATTGAAATTAACATAAATCTGGAGGCGTGCTGCTTTAACATTGAAGACCCTTGGTTCCAAAAGAAAAAAATCGGGCATGAATCGCACAAAAAAATTGATATTCAATTTAATTTTTAGTACATTTGTTTATTATCCTTTTATAGATGTCTCTAATATTTGTGCTTCACTTGATCTATGTAAGAATTCAAATTTTATGTTGATAGGATTATAAAAGGACTCTCCTGAGTTGGTTTTTTTACTTGACGGGACTGAAATATTTTTCCCCGAGATTTTTGTACCATTTGATGTAGGTGTGGACCAGCAACTTGTGTGCAAAAAATTTAGATTTGCTTTCAGTCTGTTTATCCAGACTAATAATAAATTTTATTGTGCAAAATGACCCAAAAAATGAAAAAAAAACGAAAAGCGTTTCAATGCTTTTCACTCAAATCGGACCAAGAACCGCACACAAATAGATATTCAAATTCAATTTGGAGTATACTTCTTTGTTATCCTTTGCATAGTTTTCCACTTTAAGTGATTCGTATGATTTATGTAAGAATTTCAATTTTTATGTTTTTAACCTCTTTGGGCTCAATGAAACCTCTTTAACCTCATTTAAGGTCCTATAAAGAAACATTCGGAACTGCCTCGGCTATTATCCATAAAGACTGACGGAAAGGGCCGAGTAGTTGCGATTGATAAAGGAACAGTGAATTATCGACATATATTTTTCTTCTCCATTCTGTATTCATGCCCATACGCTTTTAATTAACGCCACTTATACAATATGCATACTTGTATATTTTAATGACAAGTGGGTGAATTGCAGTGGGTGAATCATTTATATGTTCATATTTGAATGGTGCAATTAAAAACGGGATGTTAAACGCGTGACCGGGTCACCAATTGAGGGTCATCAATTATAAAATTGTCAAATATGTTACTTCGGGGCAATGGCGTCTTTATCAAATGCAATAATGTATGCATCCATGAAAAAATAGTAAAGGTTAAAAGATTAAGTATGGTGAATAAAAATGACAGTTGTTAACGATTGAAATTTTATTTTAGTTACACCTTTACAATATTTTAACCGCTTTTAAATATGTAGATTGTACTGTAAGATTTTTGAGCGATTGGTTTCAAGAAGGTACAATCGATCGCCTGTTTACAACCATGTTAGTGAGGCTACACCATAAAAATAGTTCTTAACGGCGAATTCATTTCATGGAGTTATGAATGCATTATCACAGATTTAGCTCATTGTGGCATTGTTTTTCAAACAAACATTACTGACCCCACTCTTTGTATCTTTGTGCAGTTTCTAGGATCTTGCTCTATATACTTTTACTTTTGTGCAACATTCCAGTCAGGCACGTGCACAGTGCAAAGTACGACCATTTAGTAACACATAATATATACGCTATTTTTTTCTCTAATGTATTTATTTTTACGCAAAACTAAGTAATTACATAGTGGAATGACATATTTTGCTTCAATTTGTCTTTTAAATCACTTTTTAAATGACTGTTTAAATGACTTCACTCAATTCAAAAACTCCAATTTTTTTTTTCTAAACGCTCGTTTTGAATATTTTCTTTCTGCACCTCTTATTTCAAACCGCTTGCCTCTCACTGCTGTAGGTTCAAGCCGCGCAATGCCGAAATATCGAAAGTACTAGGATAAAAAGAAAGATTCTTTGAGAAATATTAACCCGTTTAAAGATTAAAGTGTTTCATGGGAATCTTTATAAATATCGTATTTGCCCAGTTTTATTGAGTAATGGTTCTGTATCGCTTGGGTTGGTCACTATTTTCATTGTGCAAAATACATGTCATGTCCAAGTCAATTTATATATTAATTGGGAAAAACATATGCATGCCGATTGCCAAACATGCCGATTGCCCAATTACAATAAAAAAAATTACTGATCACTTAACCTTTTCCCTTATATAAGCGTGTTTCGACGGCTTTTTGCCCCCCCCCCTTTTGAGGCCTCAAACAGTGAAAAAATGTCCTATTTAGACCCACAACACTGTTTTTGCGTTTGAGAAATGTTGTTAAAAAAGTGACCATTTTTTCGGCGCCGTCCCCCATCCAAATAATACATCAGGGGGTTGCCAGAAGGGGGATGTGCCCCCTTCTGTTTGGGGGGTTTGAAGGGGGGCGGAGTCCCCCTCATCACCAAGAAAATTTTGGACTTGTGAGAGGCTTAAAATGACCCCAGGTTGATCATAAAGTAACGTGTAACCAACGCTGAAAAGCCTTTGACTCTATCTCAATCCATTGAGAAGTTGCAGCACTTTGAAATAAATTTTGATGGAAAAAATCGAGGCAAAATAGTGATTTTTGGCAATTTTGAGATGTCCCCTCGTTGCCATGGTAACAGGAAATTTAAGACTGAGCATGTCGTTACAAAGGCAATGGTCCAGTCAACATTTGTGCCAAGTTTGATTAGTATTGAAGCATTTTTCATAGTTTCATAGCAGTTTGAACTTGTAAGAGGAGGCTTTTCAGTTAAAATGGCCATTTTTCACGATATGCTCATGGGGGAAAGGGTTAATTAAAGCTTATGGCAGATAATTTCCAAACTTTTGAAACCGGAAGCTGCACAATCCATCAAATTAGACGTTATGAGTTATCAATTGAATTTGATGGATTATATCTGCACGAAAATGCTGAAACAGTTAGTATAATGATTCCTAATCGATGCATTGATATCAGATAAATGTCACAAGAAAACAATTAACTTTTGTCTTTTTTATCTAGTTGATTTAATGTCACACCGACACACTGATGTAAAAATCCCTGTTTCCCCGACCATTTTATTATTTCCTGCACTAGCGGGTTGCCGATCCGAACTAATGTTACCGACCTAATTTCGTGAATGAGCGTGCACCTGGTCAGACCTATAGTAATCGACCTTTATTTCATTCACGAGCGGGAACCTGGTCAGACCTGTTATAATAAGCCTTTATTTAATACAATTTCATGGTCAGAATGATTCTAACCCCGCGTTTACATGGTTTATTTCGTGGACGAGCAGGATCTGGTCTTGATAGATTTGAAATGTAAGGCAGTCATATGTGGACAGTCCCTGGAAGATTTTTACCGGAAGTTTTAAAGCGACCGGAAGTGTTTTTTTATTTTTTTGCATTAGTTATTAAGCAGTAATAACATAAGTATAGGTAAAATATTTTTAGGTTTCTCCGTTATATACCATCAATGGAATTTTATATTTGATCATTTCAGAGGGCCGGTTTGCATCGCCCTGGATACGTCGACTATCAGGCAAGGAACCAGTACAGACCGGAACAAACAATCGGACGTGATCGGACGTTTAGGACAAGAAGGAGACATGACAATGTCAATACAGTGAATAATCGTATACAAAGATTAGATTATTTGGTAATAATTTATCAACTACTTTAAATTGAAACTGACTTCACAAATATATATATTTCTTTCATTAAATCGCGTACTAATTTCTGTATAGCATTAAATGGTATTCCTATCTAAAAAAGTGAAACATATAAATTTGGTGTATGTATAAAGTTTTAATTTTGATGTTTAAAATGTTTTTCATAGTTTTCATTATGACTACAGGAGAGAATGAATTCAAAATGATACGGAGAAAGTAAGTAAAAAATTGAATTTAAGTAACATAATGAATACTTATAGTAATTCCGTTATAGTAAGTTTTTTTTATTCAAAGACCATTCTTTCAAGCTACAAACCTGCAGGTACCTATTAAGTACATGTACATTATCTCGTAAAAGCGTAAACAGAATCATAAGAAAGCTGTAAAAATATATATTCTTGCGTTTTCTTATTGTGTTCTGGCATTTCATTCATGGTACTTTCGTGTTTTATTCATTTCGATTTTTCAGTTCTATGATTTTTTATTCAAAGGCTAATATACCGATGGCCCTAATGGACTTCCGTAGGCATTTGTTAACCAGTGCGTGCATTCTTTTCTCTTTCAGAGACAGCAACGTGCTCACATCGAAACCAAAATAGATAGACATAATGCTCATCTCCAGCAGGAAATGTATCGTGGTACAGGAAGTGGGAGAACTGCCCATGATAGCCGTACTGTAACCGGACGTGATTCAGGTCTGCAAAATTTTAGAACGGGAAATAGTGCTAATAGTGATATTCTTGGGCGTCACAACCACATCAGACATTCTAACAGTGATATAATAGATTATAATAATCAAAGAACTGCAGGTGCGCAGAATCCAAGAACAGCTGTTGTGAAAACGAGGCGTAGAAATAATTATGTAAGACCACGTGGTCGGACCAGTATTGTAGATATCAATAGGGATACCGTTGGAAATGGTGGACAAATTACTGGGTACTCTCCCTTATTAAACAGAAGAATTGTTTCTCCACATCAGTCACCACTTGTTCAAACAACTGAATATACAAGGAGAAATTCGCTAAGACATTTTAAACCTTTTAGTTCCAATTATTTAAGACAACTTTCCGCTAAAAGCGATAGAGTAGGAAACAGAAAGTATTATCCGTTTGCTCATAGTTCTAGTTCCGGTCACGTGACCACTCGCCGAGTTCGCCCAACTCGTCAGAGTTTCCCCGATCGACCAATCGTTTATCAAACCAGAGACAGGGGTAACTCAGTGCAAGATCGAAACATTATCGTCAACTCGTTAGATGCACCTGTACAGCGACTTCCGGTTGAACCTACAAAAGATACTCCAGTGCGACGCTTAGAGAACGGACAAAGTGGTAGAAGTTTGCAGAAAGTTTTAATGCCTTTTCCGTCTGTTGTACCAGAACATGGTACAAGCAATGGTCCCGTCAAAGTTCTGCGAAGAACCGAATTGCCAAATGGAGACACAATCTTAAAAGTAGTTCCAGTAAGAAGTATCGTTGTTCCTGCTGTAACGAACATACAAACTGGTCCGCGTGCTGTACAAACAGAACAAAACGTAGTGCCTGTTCAACACGTGGGTCGGCAGCAGAGAGTTTCCACAAAAAATAGTCCAAATAATATTCTTGAGCCCAAAGCGGTTAATGCAAACCTGTTAGGGTCGAAAATAGTCCAACATTTTCCACCCACCTCAGATTTAGTACAGTCAAATCTTCTTGGACCAGGTGCAATACAAACAAGCGTTGTCTTGCCTGGCACAAATCACATGCCAAATACGGTTCAGTCAAATGTTCAAACGAATCGGTCAAATGTGCAGGTACCAAATACAGTCCAATCAAATAAGCACTTGCAAAATACGGTCCAGTCAAATGTGCACCCGGTTCAATCAAATGTGCCAGTGCTAAATACAGTCCAATCAAAAGGACACGTGCCAAATACCGTTCTGTCAAATGTGCATGTACCAAATACAGTTCTGTCAAATGTGCACGTGCAAAATACAGTTCAGTCAAATATCAATGCACCACAAAATCTTCAAACAGCTAATGTGCAAGTGCCAAATAAGATCCACCAGTCAAATGTACATGTGCCAAGTACTGTTCTGTCCAACATTCACGCACCACATACAGTTCAATCAGCTAATTTGCACGTGCCAAACAACACGGTTCAGTCAAATGTGCATTTCCCAAACACGGTTCAGTCAAATGTGCATGTCCCAAACGCGGTTCAGTCAAATGTGAACACACTTCAATCAAATGTGCCCATTCAAAATACGGTTCAAGCAAGTTTGCACTTGCCAAATACGGTTCCTTCAAATGTACATACAGGTCAGTCAAATTTGCAAGCGCCAAATACGATTCAGTCAAATGTACATACGGTTCAGTCAAATTTGCAAGTGCCAAATACGGTTCAGTCAAATTTGCAAGTGCCAAATACGGTTCAGTCAAATTTACATACGGTTCAGTCAAATTTGCAAGTGCCAAATATGGTTCAGTCAAATGTACACGTTCCAAATACGGCTCAGTCAATGGTACCCTTGGGAAATACGGCTTCGCATTTTTATCCGGGAAATTCGTGGTTAAGTCAAATGTTTCTCAACAGAGAACAACCAGATTCTCCGGATCCCACAGAAGTAGTAAAAACGGTTACAGAACTTGTTAGTCTGCTCTCGTCTGTAGTGCCAGATGTCGCAGCTACTGGCGAGGAAGAGGAAGAAATCGAATGGGAAGATTTACCACCCACCACTACAACAACCACCACCACCACTACTACAACTACAACAACGCCTTTACCTCCAACAGAAGCACCAACAACTCCAAAAAATGTCATCAAATCTATCGCCGAAAGAATAGTATCTCTCCTTGTTCAAAGAAGTGGCAGAAAGCGTATACCAAAAGTTAATAACAAACAGCAAATATCAAAAACAAATGCAAAGAACACTCTAGTTAGCGCTACACCAATTTTGCCTGTACAACCATTGCAAACACACAAGAAAAATCCAATCGGAGCATTGAGAGACAAACTTCTTCCAGAAGTTCAACCAACGTTTCCTGCTCTACGTCCAAGTGTAATAAATCCAGTCATTGGAACTAATTTGCCGCTTACCGCTACAGAAATCGCCCTTGCAAGATTAGTATCTCACCCTACAATTAGAAGTATCCTACAAAGTCAAGTGTTAGCTCAAGATCTTGCGCAAACAGGTAACAGTGGACAATTAAATCTGAACGACGTCATTTTGTCAGATTCTTTTCCGCATACAGGAACAAACCCCCTGGTGGAGGATATAGCCCTTGCACCATACATGTCGAGCAATGATTTAGGTGGTTTGTCAGTAAAGAAAATTGTTCCCATTACAAACGAATCGGGATCTAAAGGTAACAAAACTAGTCCCTTAAAAGTAGAACAAAGTCAAGGCAAGTCGGATGATATTGCTGTTCAGGCTCTTTTAGAAAAGATAAAAAACATTGTATCTATTCAAAATGCTCCAACAAAGACGGAGACAACAACAACAACGGCACCAGTTACTTTGGCTCCTACTACGCCTACTCCTATAATGTTAACACCTGCGCCTACGTTTGCTTCTGTGCCAGACACGTGCAGACCTGGATCTCCAAACTTCCAGTGTAAGGGAAAAGACATGTTTCAAGCAATGGAAACGATTGGAGCTTGGTGCATAGGCATGTGTTTTAAGCGAGGATGTATAAGTACAGTATGTACATGTGGATGTAACCTTCCTCCAACACAAATGTCTCCGTCTGCAATACCGTTAACCCCTGCACAGAGGAGGCAAGTACTTAATTCTTTCGATTCTTCTCGGTGGGGAAGAACAACACAAAACCCGGTTACAACTGAAGAACCGCCTGAAGAAGAAGAAGAAGAATGGGAAGCTGAAGACGGAACAACAACTATGGCCCCAACAACAACTTTAAATCCATGGTGGGCGGTACCATGGGACGGAAACTCACCTTCGCCACAAAGTGATTTCAGGTTAAACCCTATAGATCAACATTCATCCGATGCGAAGAAAATAGGCCAACACGTTTCTGAATTAAACGAAATAGCATGGGCATCTGAGATCAAGTCTCGTTTAAACCAGCTTGCTGTAAATGCTGACAACTCAACGAATGCTGACGCTTTTGTCGCTGAACAAACTGCATCCGGAACTAAAGCTCCGCCCAATTGGCAAGGAACAGAGTTTCACCTGCAAACTCCGCCTCCTAAGAAACCGCCTCCAACACCTGAGTCAAATGCAGCACGATCAAATACATGGCAGCGGAGACCACTTCGAGACAAGTGGGGAAGAAGTGAGCGTTTTACGGGAGGCGGAGAATCTCAATCAGGGAGTAACCCCGGTTGGAATATGTGGAACAATCCTTGGCAAATGAACTCATTCGGGAACCGTTTCGGTGGTGACTCTCGCCTCAGCAGATTCAGGTTTAATTGGGGTGGGGGTTCAGGTGGTTCCGGTGGTGAAGAAAATGAAGCTGCTGATTAAAAGTATTATGACTGAAAACATTGCAATAAATTTACACACACAAATTTTGTGACTTGAAATCGGTGATAGGTGGAAAGTTTACACAAACGCTAGATGTCTGTTTTGTACGTTTCACACCTGAATTGTTCAACAAAATGACTTCCGGTCAGAGGAACAAACACGTCATGGCGTTCTACTGAATTCAGAGCGGGGTGATCTGACATATAGAAAACAAGGGTAAAAGTTGCAACGTCGTAAGAATATAGGGAACGTAGTGTGTTACAGCAAAATATTTCGGAATTTATGTGAAAGTTCTTGGATACAAGTACTGATTAAATTTGTTCAGGTATATTTATATTATCATTAAAAGGTTTTTTAAAATGATATAAGATGACGTCAGAGTCTAGAAGGAAATGTCAATATGACATTTTACATTGCTAGCATACCATTCAGAGATGTCAAATGGCAAAGATGTAATTTTTTGTGTGTTTAAGTAAGGTATTTTTTACAACTTGTATTTGCATCGTGACTGTGTAATTTTGAAATGTTGTTCACATCTTTTATTTATTTATCTATTATTATTTATTTATTGCAAGGGACAACGTAATTGTCGTTAATTATTTATAAATTAGGAATCTTAGATTAAAGTTGAAATTTTACCTGTTTAAACATGGTGATTTTTTGCATAAAACCAAACTCCTTGCAGCGGTTACTTCCCCTGATCAGTAGGAAAAGCGTGACGTAACCGCTGCGAGGGGTTTGGTATAAAACAAGAGGAAATAGTGAAAATATAAAGGAAAAATACAAAAAAGATAATAGAAACTAAGAATGAGTTACAATCCAGCAATTTTGGTCGTTGTAAAACTAGACACGATTATAGTAAAAAACAGCAAAAACATGACGTAATTGTTATGACGTCAATATTATTTTTGTTAAAAATGTTATATCATTTGCGTTTTTTTGTAAAATGTGCATAGTAATCAAACCAACAATAAATTTGCTTGGATGTTGGGTGATACGGTTAAAGCTTTTCAAAGGAATATGTTTGGTTGTTGTTGTTGTAATTTTTTTACAGACCACAGGGACCAAAATCGCTGGACGTAGCTTAAATATTTAATTAGTTTTTGTAGTAATAGAGCTATCATGAAATGATTATAATGTAAACATACGATGTATTTATTTATTTATTTAGTGCAAGACATGGTGTGTGCTGATAACTTTTGCACTTTGGTATATTTGCATTGTCCAATTGATAAAACTGACAATTAACTGTGTAGAGATCTATTTAACTTAATAAAAAAAAACATTATTCTTTAATGAAAAAAAGCAGGGACAAATTCGATTGCTATGGCTATAATCTTGTTATTTGTTTTACGCAAATACACTCATTTGAGTCGAATTATTGAAATATCGCAAACAATCGTTTTCACACCGCCATGTAACCTGTCAGAATCTGTATTACTATTTCATAATACAGCGCAATTCCTTAATCCGAGAGAAAATATGATATAATTAATTAAATTAACAGTAGCCGTGTATTTAGAATATAGTATCATCTACGCGATTATCCAATGATAATAAAACTATACAACTGTTCAAGTTTTACTTTTCGATATCAGTTCATTTAGCAAGAAGTAATTGCTTATTAACAAAATATAATTCAAAATATGCATCATAAATTAAACTGATTTCGCAAATTTTTGAAACTAAATTTTGCAATATATATAAGTCCTAGAAGTATATAAGTTTTATTCGTAGAGCGCATGCGCATCATTTCATTTTATTTTTTTGGCGGCGCAAATAATATGGCGGACAATGCATTATTTTCATTTTCGTTATGCATTGTCGTTATTGATTTTGTTGTTGTGCCAATCAAAATTGTTTGGCATGTTTGTTATATGTCTTAATTTCTTTTAAGTCATCTGTACTAATTATAAATTCAGCGACGCAATAGCGTGCCTGCTTCAATTATTTCCGTTTTCGTTTTTTTTTTTCGTTCAGAAAAGATTATGTAAATTGTGCCGACCTTACTTACTGTTGAATGTATTTATTTCAAATTTATATTGTATTTTAATTGTTTGTTAATTGTTAAATAAATGATGTTGATTTTAATTAATCGTCTTTGTGTTTATTGAAATTCTTTCCTTTGTATGTTAAAGGAATTATTTTAGATCTATAAGCCTTAATAAACCTAGGATCACTTTAAACGAAATTTAAAAAAAATGTAAAAGATAAGGAAATATACTCGAAATTAAATTGAAAATCGGTATTTGGCGCAATGCTTGGCACGATTTGAATTAAAGGCGTTTAAACATTTTCATATTAGATCATTGTTGCACAATAAATTGATTATTCTTGAAAATATGAAGTCCAAAAATATATATCTAGTCCCTTTAATTTTCGATGCATTTTTTAGTGCATTAAATCATCAACACATTTATCCCAAATGATTTTCATTATTTAAAAGTTTCCTGTTTGTGATTTAAAGTAAATAAAAACAAAAACAAATCTTGATTTTTTTTTACGCTCATTTCATTACATTGTTTTGGTCATACATCGGCAGTGGAGCCCCTTTACCCGCTTTACTTGATAACAAACCAGTAAATAACTTTACTTGATAACTAACCAGTAAATAACTTTACTGGATAACTAACCAGTAAATAACTTTACTTGATAACTAACCAGTAAATAACTTTACTGGATAACTAACCAGTAAATACTGAGTTCTCCACAGGAAACAAACAGCACCGAAAGATCTGTCAAACTATAATCCTGGAATAAAACGAAATATGCCGAATGTTTACGAATATTACCGTGAATTCCCGGCTTATTCCGAAAACCAGATGTATTTCAACATGTGATACATTTTAAAGAAAATGAATTATGTTTATTTTTATCTTACATGTCACCAAATTCCTATAATTGCCAAAAAATGATTTATACATATACAAACACTAAATCATAATTATAATATATGTGTCAAAACAAAGTTGTATTTATACAGGAACTTTTCTTTTGAATTGAAAATAGTTTCATAAAGTACAAAGGTCATTGTCATTGTAAACGATTGTGATGTGATATTTGACATCTGTCATGAACTACTTAAGAAGTATCAAAAGGACTCCACTGAGGTTTTTTTTTGTCATGACTGGACTGAAAATAATTTTTCGAGGTTTTTGTACCATTTGAAGTAGGTCTAAACTAATAACTTGATTCTACTCAGGTTCGTGTCTGAAATAATGCACTCAGGAGCACCCGAAGTCTTTGTCCACCAGTGAAGTCTTATTTAAAGCTGTGGCATACGATGTTTCAGTTTAAAGGAGCTACACTGAGGTCAGAAAGCCTAAACACGATAGATTTGATTTTTTTCGACTAGGGCACATGAAACGGGGAGATATGAAAAAGATAAATTAACAACGTACTCTTAAATAAATTGAAAATCGGTATGCTTGTGCATTTTTTAGATTATTTTACACGCTAAAATAATTATTTTGCAAAAACCAATGTAAGCAAATGACCTGAACTGCTTTACACACACAAGTTATTGGTCTAGGCACAAAATGGAACATTAAAAGGACTTTTTTGACATGATTGGACCAGAAATATTTTTTTCGAGATTACTGTTCCATTTGGTGTAGGTATAGACCAATATCTTGTGTGCCAAATTTCAGATCATTCGCTCACTCCGTTCTTTTATCCAGAAAAATTCTTATTGTGAAAAATTACCCAAAATTTAAAAGTGTTGCAACGCTTTTTACTAAAATCGGGCTAAGAAAAGCGCAAAATTACAATTTTCATTTTATTTCTGAATACATTTCTAAATTATCTTTTGCATATTCTTTTGTCTTTTGTGTCCCATTGTGATCTATGTGTATTACAATTTCAATTTTAGGCGTTTTGACCTCAGTGGAGTTTAATCTCGAAAATATATTTCTAGTCACGTCATGTCAAACAGCTCAGTAGAGTCCCTTTAATATGTTATTTCTATTACTGATAAAATCAGATTGAAATCACTTGACAGTCCAAGATTCCGTGCAAAACAATAAACAATACAAATTTTTATTAAGCTTATTCGAAATACTTTCATAGTGTTCGGGTGTTTTTCTTGTTCTTTTTTTAGTAGATTTAACCACATTTTATTTATAGTTTATTTTGTGGTATACCGAATGAAAATCTATTAAGCAACGTTTACAGTAATAGGGGTTTTTATTAAGCTTATTCGAAATACTTTCACGTACTTCGGGCATTTTTCTTTTATCTTTTTTTAGTAGATTTAACCACTTTTTATTTATAATTTATTTTGTGGTATACCGAATGAAAGTATATTAAGCAACGTTTACAATAAATAGAAAGTTTTATTAAGCTTATTCTAAATACTTTCATATACTTCGGGCGTTTTTCTTTTTCTTTTTTAGGTAGATTTAACCACTTTTTATTTATAATTCATTTCGTGGTATACCGAATGAAAATATATTAAGCAACGTTTACAATAAATAGAAACTTTTATTAAACTTATGCGAAATACTTTCATATACATCGGGCGTTTTTCTGTTTTTTAGACAGATTTAACCACTTCATATTTATAACTTATTTTGTGGTATACCGAATGAAAATCTATTAAGCAACCTTTTCAATAATAGGGTTTTGTTTAATTGCACATGCTTAAACAGTAAAAGACTGTTGTCGAAATTAAAAACACTGTCAGCACGTTGAAACAATAAATGTTACAATGGGACCACATTTTGACAGTCTGCATGAAAAAGCGTCAATAGATTGCCCGATCATTTGTCAAAACCTGTTTAAATTGGTCGTAAAAATGTGCTAATCACATACGGGGCATGGGTTTATAATGAACATTTGTACAGGAAATTTAAAATAAAAAAACGCCTTTTTTGTTTGAACTTTGAATAAAGAAGTGATTATTTTTTATTATTGATTTAGCATGTTAGATAATAATTGTGTGCGTGACAGTTGTGCCAACGTGCTCGAAGTGATTTATATAATTGATATTTCATTATTGAAATCCTGTAATTCGTTTGAAGGCAGATAATTGAGTGTCTTTATTTAGCGCCGTCTGTAGACGGTATGTGGAAAACACCATCCAGTCATTTTTAAAAATAAAATATTCGTCGGAAATTGGCAACATTTCATGCCTGGAATATATATTTCCCACATTTGTTTCTTTATTTTGTCTGATATATGATATCAATTATTTACTTATTTTAAAGTGTTCGATTCTAAATGATATACAATTGTTCAACCAAGTTATATCAATGTTCTTACAAATAGTATTCTTTTATGCCATAAATATTACTAAATTAGAGTTCATTTTATAAAGAAGAAGAAGAGGAAGAAGAAAAAAAAGAAGAAGAAAAAGAAGAGGAAAAGAAAGAAAGAAAGAAAGAAAGAAAGAAAGAAAAAAGAAAGAAAGAAAGAAAAAAACAACAAAAAAAAACATCAGCAACAAAGAAAACATAGCCTATATTCTACAAAATTTCGTCTTTTAAGTCATTTGAACGAATTTCCCTCTCCCACGGAATCGAAATATACCGTTTGACGATTGCACGATGGTATCGTAATTGTACATCATTGCGCACTGAGGATTGCCCAAAGATTAAGCTAAGCACATTTGACGATTTATAAGTGTGCCATTAAATGCAGTACACGTATTAGCTATTATTTAGTATAGACAGCTTGGCGATTGCATGTAGGTCTAATTAACCGCTAAAAAATTGTTCAAACGATATATATTAGTTATGTTTTAAAACAAACTATGAAAATCATGAAATTTTAAGTAGGTTTGGTTGAAATTTAGACTTATTGCAAGATACACATTTTTTATCCAAACATTGCAATATTTTGATTCTCCGTCCAATTTGGACCAATGGAAACATGTCACAAAAGCAGACTCCATAGTTTCATATACATTTTGCCAATCATCAATTGATTTTACATTTTCTACGATTGATATCGTTAATAGACTTGTCCGTCATTCAATTCTAGACAAAACGATTCATTGCTTTTGGGGAAAATATCTAAGAATGTTCCTGACTCAATAGCGGACGGTGCAGACCATGTTCAGACGGCCGGGAAGTGCCGATGATCTTGGTCTGCATGGGTCATATTAGTAGAATCCGTTGCTGTCAGTTGGCTAAGGATAAAGCAAATTCTTATCATTATATTTATGCAGTATCACACAAATAAGCTTGACTTTTAAACATCTACTCTAATTTGCATGGCGGTAAAGTTAAACAAAGTTTTACAATGCAATAAACTGTCAATGAAGGACTATAAATGTTAATATTTAACTTTTTACACTTTTCAAATATCGAACAATCATGCTTATGTCATGACAGGTTGCTGTGAATATTAAAAACCAGAACCAAAATATATGCAAATAATGGTGCAATATAATTATACGGAAACACAAATGGTACATATATATTTATAACCCTCGTGACTACTAGTTTTTTCCCGATCTTTTTATTACGTCATCTGTTAAGAGGTATCTTTTTCACCGTTATTAT